TTGAGACTGGTCCTCCCACGGATTGTTAAATTATCAACTCAGATCAACCTTACAGGAGGTTGAGTATGAAAATGCATTAGAAGTGTACGCATTAAGAACAAACATTATAGGACAAGTTAATCATCCTTTCTGCATAAAGTACTGGTATACTGGAGAGCCTCGGTCTTAAGAAACACGTTTTACAACTTTGTCTTTCATAAATTTGACTTTTACCCATTCTTTTGCTCAATAGTAAGAAATCAAATCTGCCTCCTTGCACCTTTTGATGATCTTGAATTATTTATATTCCTCTTCTTTAATGATGGTGGTGGGAGGGGCATGTTGAATTCCATCAAATAGCTACACTCTTATAAAAGCCTCATTCAGCTAACAAGTAGCCTTAGCACATTCTTTTCCTTTGCAGAGTAAGTAAGACTTTTGTGTGTGTGTGTGTGTGTGTGTGTGTGTGTGTGTGTGTGTGTATGTGTGTGGTGGGGAGATACTGAATTAGTAAATTAAGGCTAGGAGCAATGTGAATTTGGTTCTAGATAGCGTTTGGATCAATGACCATTGCAAGACTATTTATATAAAGCCCTGTTTATAAAAACCTGTTCAACAGTATGATATTTGCCTTCCCAGAAATCTTGTGTTCTGAAGGAGTTACGTAGTATTTAGAATGCTTCTAAACTATCAAGCCCTTTTCGTGGGTTCAGACTCAGTGAGAAAAGCCCGCAGGGGTAGAAGGCAATATTGTAACAATCTATAGTAGTTGTTAAATGAGCTAACTAGTTAGTTGATTTACTACCTCAGATTTCAGGAGGGTTGTCCAATGAGTATTCAGTTCCCCATGCTAACTGTTCCAACAATGAATATTTGAGGATTTATAATGGGAAGGGACTAAGCGGTGATAGGTAAACAGCAGGTACTAGATACATACCATGGTTTTGTTATGTCCTCTCCTTGTTAGTAGGCTGATTTTCAGAGGAAGAGCATGTGCCCAGGAAGGAGCTGAGCCTAGGAGCCAAATCTCACTTACCACCTGTTTTTGTAAATAAAGTTGTATTGGAATGCAACCCTGCAAATCATTTACATATTGCCTATGACTGCTTTCTTACTAAAACAGCAGGAGAATCCAGTAGTTGTGATAGTGAGCAAATGGCCAACAAAGCCTGAAATATTTACTACCTGGCCCTTTACAGAGAAAGCTTGCTGAGCCCCGTTCTAGACTCCAATGCTGTGCTGTCCAGGGACGTAGCCATTAGCTTCAGGAAGCAGTTGAGTGTTTGAGATGTGGCTGATGGAGCTGAGGTGTGTTATATGAGGAAAACACACATAAGACTTGGTAAAAAGAAAGAAAAAGGAATGTAAAAAGCTCTTCAGTTTTTAAATATTGATCATATGTTGAAATAATATTTTGGATATTGAGTTGGGTAAAATATATTATTAAAATTAATTTTACCTGTTCTTTTTATATTTTTTAACATGACTATTAGAAAACTGAAAAATATGACTTGCATTTATAGCTCACGTCATAGTTCTACTGACCTGGCTTAGAGTCTGTAAAAAAGGTAGAAAGAGGGAAGGTGAGGAAAGAAAACAATCTGTTATATAATATTTGCAACTAACTTTCAAAAGCAATAGAAACTTCTATTAATTTGGCTATTCTCATAAGAAGTAATACTTTAAAATAATGAATTAGGTTATCTTATCGACAAGGTTTTAGTTGAGTTCTCTGAGAAGGAGACCCTGACTCAGAATTCAAATTGGGAGGTGACCTGGGAAGCATCTGTCAGGGAGAAGGGAAGGAAAGAAGGTATGTTCCTGAACAGGTTGTTGCTGTGGGCAACTGGGCCCCTCGCAGTAGAGCTCTCTGGGAGATTTGACAGAACAGGACTCAAAGTAGTCCCTTCTGGCAAGTGAGGAACCTCCATGTTCATCCACCAACTGCCAGTAGTTGCTGGTTGAGGGTTGCTCCTAGGGGCATCAGCCTCCCCTTGTTCCCTCTCCAGCATCCCCGCCTGCCTGCCTGGGGCCAGATAAAGCCCTAGAGCTGAAAGGAGCAGTTGTTTGCTGCCAAGAGTTTCAAGTCAGCTTGAGATCAGTGACTACCTAAGGCAGTGGTCTGCAAACTCATTAGTCACCAGAGCCAAATATGAACAGTACAACGATTGAAATTTCTTTTGAGAGCCAAATTTTTTAAACTTCTTCTAATGCCACTTCTTCAAAATAGACTCATCCAGACCGTAGTATTTTGTGGAAGAGCCACACTCAAGAGGCCAAAGAGCCGCATGTGGCTCTCGAGCTGCAGTTTGCCAACAAGCGGCCTAAGGCATCAGGTTGGGCCCTAAGTGTCTGATTCTGATACCAAACTGAATGTTTGATCCATGTTGAAATCCATGTTTTCAACAAACATTTGTATAGTCCTGTGGTGTGTGTATTCATTTTCTCTGATCTTAACAATAGCACAGATAGTTAGGTTTATCATTATTCATACATTATGGATGGGAAAATAAAACCCAAGAGTCACTTGTCCAGGATAATTCAGCTGGGATGATAACTCCAGTCTCCTCACTCCACATGGGTGGTCACTCATGCATGAATCCTTAGATTTTAACAAGCTCAGCTCCATAGGAGATGTAAATATAGTGATGTCCTCAAAGTGAGAATAGGAAACTCAGACTATTGGGGGGAGGGGATTCTGTAGAACTCCTTAGATATCCATAGGGAAATAGATACTTATATCCACTTAGTCCCAAGACTCTTCTGCCAAAATATATTCTCTCTCTCTTGCCAAAGCACAGTCAAAATCAAGAGGTTATAGGACCTGCTGACCACCACACAGGATGTTAGTGATACAGCTAAATTCTAGAAAACTCCACAGAAGTCCCTATAGTGGAAGCTTGCGGATGCATGGTTCATTGAGGACTGGATTTTGTTACCTTCCCATTACCCAGGCTCTCATCAAAAGTGTTGTCAGTCCCTTTGGTATTTCTTGGAAACAGTCTCCCTCCCAGCTTCATTTCCCTTTATTATACTTCTAACTGACTTGGTAATTCTTTGCGGACTTCAGTAACACTTGTACTATTTAAATTTGAATAACCCCCAAGGATCTAGATAGGTCAATATGTTTAAACCACAGGCTTTCGTCTATATATTAGTTGATTAAAAACAGATTTTATACATGATGTATACTTAATCAAGGGAGGGGGAAGCAAGCAGATGTTTCTAAAACAGAAATGTGTTAGACTATATTTATTTGGCTCTCTTGCTGACTAGCTTTAGAAAAGTCATACCTATGACAATTGAACTGTAAACAGTTAGATGATGTGTTTCCCTAGAAATTTCCTGCGCTGAAGAGTCAGCCAAAAAGAAAAGTAAAATGATTCCCTAAGAATGACATACCAAAAGAGGTTGACAAGTATACCAGAAAGTAGTCATATTTAAACAAAGGACATTGAATAATGGAATGCCTCAAAATTATGCTCTAGTCTCTGACCATAAAGTGATTAGTGGTTGTAATTCATTTAATCCAAAGAGTAGGAAAACATTGGCTTTTGTTGTTATTAGTAAGAGCTTTGAAAGCCAGGTTTTATGTTGTTGTTTTGTTGTTGATTATGCAAACGGGAAATCATTAAGTTGCACCTAAATTACTGTGTCTGGTTCATTCTCCAATTTTTTTATATCTCATCCTTTAACTGAGAAACAATCATTTTTTTCCTCCCTTAATATATTTATATTTGAGACTCTTTGAGTGTTTCAAAGCCAAAATTGAAGATTTTGTATTGGTTTGCCTGTCCAGATAAAATATGCACAAAACCTTCCTCTGAATTCTGGACACGTGAGAATTATAGATAAAATACTTTAAATGGATTTTAAAGAATAATAACCAAGCTTACACATAAATGGAAAGTCTCTAAAAACCAGAAGGGAAAGGAAATGCAAAATGGTGAAGGGAGGTTGGAGCTGGACTGCTCAAAAGAAGTAGAGACAAGCTGGGGCAGCGAGGACCCGAGGAGAAACATGGTGCAGTGTATCCTGCACGTGGCAGGTGCCACCCTGTACTCCTGGAGGCCACTCTAGGCTCAAAGGCTAACTTCCATCCTCTCTGGAATTAGAGCTAGACAGAATTCTCATGGAAGGAAGGTGAGGCACTGAGTCAAACCAGCATCTGTGCCTCTGTGAAACATAGGTGTCTTCTAGGAGCGCTCCCTCTGGGAAAACAACCTCAAGCCCTAACAACAGAGTGGGCATCTCACCTGGTCGGGCTATGTCAATCCCCAAACCACAGCACAGGGAATAAAATTCACATCAGATGAGCTGTCAGACAAAAATTGCAAGACACAAGATAAAATCAGATTCATGGCAAATGTATGCAAACATAGGAAAATAGGAATTGCCTCTTCTCAAAAGAGTATGTTTAGTTCTCTAGAAATTATGGAGGGACTTGCTTCCTGGGAACATGAACAGGAGGTAATTCAACAAGAAGATGTGATAAAGAACCTACTGGAAATGAAAATTGTGGTCATTGAAATGTAAACAATTGTTAATAGGATGAACACTAGATTAATAAGCATACTTTGTCCAGCTGGTGTGGCTCGGTTGGCTGGGGCATCGTCCCATACACCAAAAAGGTTGTGGGTTTAATCCAATAGTAGTTGATTTGATGTGGGGATATATTCTTTATATTATTTCCATTTCTGATTCAGATAAAGGAATAGAAATTCAATGATCTCCTTTCTTCCTAGTTAACAACCTAGAAGTAACCTAAACTAATCATTCAGTTAATTATGCCTCAGTTAATGCAAGAAACATGAACCAAAAGAATGATATTTGACCATCTTTTAAGGGTTCTTTTAAATGCACCTTTTCACAATCCAGTTTGAATCTATAAACAGTTGAAACTGTATAGATCTCATTGAGGTTTCTGGGGGGAAAAAGTATCAGTTTTCCCTAGTATGAGTGTTGTATAGTAAAATATTAAAAGTATGCAGAATAATATTCTTCCTCTCTTTTTTGAACAGCAAAACTTAGAGAGTAACCTCACCAACCTTATTAAGAGGAACACGGAACTGGAGACCCTTTTGGCTAAACTCATTCAAACCTGTCAACATGTTGAGGTGAGTAGCTCTGTGTAGTGTGCTCCATATGAAAATTGCTGGACCACAATTTTTATACTCTCAACCTTTATATTTTTAAAACTGGAATCTTCTTAAAATTAGATTTTTTTTTTTGCAGGAGCTAAATATATAAGAGGGATGAAATTGGAAGGAACTAGAATCTCAGAATGGCACTTACCTCCCCTCAACTAACTGCTTTGTCCTGCCCCGCACTCCTCTCACAGCATTCCCTGATCCAGCTTTATTTTCTTTAGCATTCCTAATATTGTAGATTTTAATCAACCTTACAAGGAACAGCCAAGAAAAAGCACTATTTAAAAGGCATTGTATTGGCTGCCGTAACAAATTACCCCAAACTTGGATGGCATAAACACACACACACACACACACACACACACACACACACACACACACACACAAACAGTCTGGAGGCCAGAAGTCTCAAATTAAGGAGTTGGCATGGCCGTGCCAGCTCCCTCTGAAGGCCCTAAGGGAGGATCCTTCCTGCCTCTTCCCATCTCCTAATGTTCTTGTGGCTGCAGCAGTTTAATCTCTACTTCTAATCTCTATTTCATCAAATGGCCTTCACCTTGTGTGTCTCTGTGTCTGTGTCTAAATATCCTTTTTACAAGGACACCAGTCACTGGATTCAGGGCCACCCTACTCCAGTATGAACTCATTTTAACTTGACCACATTTGCAAAGACCCTGTTTCCAAATCTACCCATGTTTCCCCGAAAATAAGACATCCTCCCAAAATAAGACCTAGCGCATGGAAAGATAAAACATCCCCTGAAAATAAGATCTAGCGCAACTTTGGGAGAAAAAATTAATATTAGACACTGTCTTATTTTCGGGGAAACAGGGTATATACATAAAAGCCTAAGCCATTTGACCGGTAGCTATGATGTGCACTGACCACCAGGCGGCAGACTCTCAATGCACAGGCATGGAAACATGGAACAGACTGATGAATTTCAGAGGGAAAGGGGTCCCTTGGCCTGGGCTGTAGGGACCGGGTTGAAACTGGCAGTCTGACATCCCCCAAAGATTCCCGGATTGCACGAGGGTGCAGGCCAGGCCAAGGGACCCTACTGATGCATGAATCCATGCACCGGGCCTCTAGTATGGTCATAGTCACAGATACCAGGGGTTATACCTTGGGCATATCTTTTGGGAGAACACAATTCAGAACACTACACGTATGTATTAAATGCATGTTGGTTGTCAGTTATGTTTCTGTGAAATTGACCACAATTGCAGTGTGTTGGGATTAAGTAACAGTGTGTAGGCAGCAGTGACAGCAGGGCAAGTTGCAGAACCCAGAGCTTTTTTAAAAAATATATTTTTTTATTGACTTCAGAGAGGAAGGGGAGGGAGAGAGAGAGAAGCATCAATGATGAGAGAGAATTGTTTATTGGCTGCCTCCTGCATGTCCCCTACTGAGGATTCAGTCCACAACCCAGGCATGTGCTCTTTACCGGAATCAAACCCAGGACCATTCAGTCTGTAGGGCGACACTCTATCCACTGAGCCAAACTGCCTAAGCTCAGGTCTTTCTGACTCTCTGCTTAGATGGATTCGCTTTTGGCAATAATCTCTCCAGGGGACAATTTGAGCCTGGTTGATTAAACAACATTGTAAATAATAGTGAACAAGTATAATGCTTTCGTTATTGTAGGAGAAAGTGAATATGTATTATAGGAATAAATGAATGAACAAAATGAAGTGACCCTTGTGCTAACTATATTTTATTTTTATGATGTGATGGCATTTGATGTTTAGGACAATAAGAAAGAATTGTTTCTCTTCAAAAAAAAAAATTATCCGTGTTTTATGGGGAAATTTTACAAATGTTTTATGGTTTGGGTGATTATTTCAATTTTAGCTAGTTTCATTACTTCTTAAAGCACTAGTGTCTGGTTTCCATTATGGTCTGTAGTCATTCCAGAACAACTGTCTTGCTCCTAATGTAATATTAGTGTGGCTTGAATTTACAAAATGCTATTCATACTAACATGTAAAATTACATTCTATAATGTTCAATAATTTCAAATGATAGATGTGTCATTCAAGAAATTTCCAAGCAGATTTCATTTTCATTTCAAAAGATTAGAGATTTAATTGAGATATAGGCTTTTAAAATGAAGCTATTACTGAATTGATTGTAGCGGACTTGCAGATGGGACACGTATAAGCAATTTGAGGTTATTCTAGACAAGAAATAAAGAATACTTATTCCTTTCACTATCGTTGTTTCTGTATACATCCTTTGGGATAGAAAGAAAATTTTTATAGCTGAGAAAATTTGATATTTGGGAAATTTATTCTAGATACTAGTGAAAGAAAATTAATTATGAGTAGAAATAGTATGGTACTAGCAGTGTCTATTTTTACATGTTTTCTTAGACATACTTATTAATGCTTTCAAAGTCTAATTTTCAAAAAAATTAAGCATCCAATTATCCTCTATAGCAAAACCTCTATATAATGGACTAATTTGGGGGAGGGAGTTTCCATTGGTTTTCCGAATGCATATGTTAAAAATTGACAAATTAGTTAGTTTACCGGTTTTTACATAAGTAGACATGCTTGTGTAATTAAAATTAAGTATGTATAAAAAGTTCCATTTCACAGAAAAGTTTTCTATGTGTATTATTGTAATTTTAGGTTTATACTGAATAGATCTAGTATTATAGATGCATGCATTCACCAGTCAGCTAGAGGAAACAAATGCACAGGCTGGCGTGTGGCTCAGTGCACTGGGGACATCGGCCAATGGGTTAAAACTGCTGCAGCAAGTCAGGCCAGGCGACAAGAGAATCAATTACTGCGTGCAATGCAGTGTGAGCATGTGCTGATCATTCCCTGATTTAAATATGTAGACTACAATTTATTTATGACACAATATTTATCTACGTCAGTGAAGTTTCCCCCACATATGGTCTATTCACTGAAATTTGTCTAAAATAACAGTGTATTAATAACAACAACAACAACAAAAACTGTTGATTTAATTATAAGCAAATCTCGGTTAAAAGCATTTTAAAATTAACAGGGTGTTAGTTTTCACATGTGACATACATTCCAGACATTTTGTCAGTTCAATCAGAAGTTCATAAAACTGAGAGTTTACTGTAGTAATCCAATGAGTCCACACTGAAGATGGGGTCCGGGGAGACAGTGCACAATCTAAGTCTACCTTCAAGGGATATCTTGGTGCAAAATGCTCACACGTTCAAGGGCAAACGTCACAGCACTAGTAAAATCCAAAACAGTAGTGGAATTTGTTAGGCACCGGCATGATGGTCTTTTGAATCAGCTCAGTGGAAAAGAATTTCATAGTTCACATCCTATTTTCCTAGACTGTATTTCTTCCTTTTCCTCTTCCTGATGGTGTCCTTGTGTTTGAGTCTGAGCACTCCCCTGGAAAATAATCCCCATGCCAGCTGGAGCTTAACAACTCAAAGCTCAGAGGCAACTCTCAATTGTTGTAAATGAAATCAATGAGTTCCCACAGAATCCTGAGGAAATGCCACATCCTTATAAGTCCACACCTCCTTCCTGAGATTCACTCTGCTTTTCTTTAGAATAAAAGGAGTTTGAAGGTCTCCCCCATCCTCATTGTTTTCATAACTTGTTTTTAAAATCAGTGTAAGCAAATGAAATGTTTGGTTTTTTGTTTTTTGTTTTTTAGCAGTTATTTCTTTTTAAAAAATATTTTTAAAAATATATATTTTATTGATTTTTCTCAGAGAGGAAGAGAGAGGGAATAGAAAGTTAGAAACATCGATGAGAGAGAATCATCGATCAGCTGCCTCCTGCACACCCCCTACTGGGGATGTGCCTGCAACCAATGTACATGCCCTTGACTGGAATCGAACCTGGGACCTTCCAGTCCGCAGGCCAACACTCTATCCACTGAGCCAAACTGGTTTCGGCTAAAAAATATTTTTAATTGATTTTTTTTTACAGAAAGGAAGGGAGAGGGATAGAGAGTTAGAAACATCAATGAGAGAAACATTGCTCAGCTGCCTCCTGCGCACCCCTAACTGGGGATGTGCCCATAACCAAGGTACATGCCCTTGACTGGAATCGAACCTGGGATCTTTCAGTCTGCAGGCCAATGCTCCATCCACTGAGCCAAACTGTGTTAGGGCATGAAATTTGTTTTTATAGTAAATACCAAATCTTTTAAAAACTAGATATGAAGGGTATGAAGGCCAGGCAGTTTAGGACTCAGGAGGTAAAGGCATTGAAAGAGCAGTATCAGCTAGACTCTCAAGAAATGCTTGTGTGTAAATCGGTGGTTGGAATTCTAAAACCTAGTGCGGTTTTAGTCACTGGGTTTTGTTTTCTTCAGAAGAGAAATACAGTAGAAAATTCCAGTGGAATGAGTTTGAAGTCTGTTATATATGGGATGTAGGACAAACCTATAGGAAGTAATCAAAATTTGGGTCAGCTGTAGAACTTAAACATTTCTAGGTTAAATTTGGACTTTTCCTCTTCATCATCTCATCTTTTTCTTTTAAAAATCAGAGGACCTGCCGAAACCGGTTCGGCTCAGTGGATAGAGCGTCGGCCTGCAGACTGAAAGGCCCCAGGTTCGATTCCGGTCAAGGGCATGTTACCTTCGTTGAGGGCACATCCCCAGTAGGGGGTGTGCAAGAGGCAGCTGATTGATGATTCTCTCTCATTGATGTTTCTAACTCTCTATCCCTCTCTCTTTCTCTCTATAAAAAAATCAATAAAATGTATGTTTTTAAAAAAATAAATAAAAATCAAAAATAAAAATCAGAGGACCTAATTTATTGGCTAAGCAAATACTTAGAATCACTGATGGGTACCAAATTCTTGACACATTCTGAGAATCAAGTTCTTTTGAGTGAATACATCACCTGAGCACACAATCAATGTTCATTTTGGGAATTACCAATGACCATTGACTGAAACCACAGTGAGATGATAAGGAAAAGCTACAGGAGGGTGGCTAATTGTCAT